TAATAGCCAGCTGGATTCACATAGACTATCACTTGTTTACGTTGAGTTTGATATAGTTAAGTACTGGTGGTAATAAATGGCAGGGCGTGTGATATATATTGGGTAAATGTATTTAAAAGCCAGCCCCATCCAAAGTTTATACGAGAGCTGTACCAAAAGTAATGTGAAAGTGAGCATAACATTTTCATTAACTTATATAGGTTATTCAAATTTCACATGTTGGTAGAGTAACTCTTCCTCTATAGCAGCGGTCTCCAAACTGCGGTCTGGGGGCTGAATGTGGCCATTTGCTAGTGTTTATAAAGCCCTTGGGGCAATTTTTCATCCGCTGACACCACCAATGGGGCATAATTCTGCTCACTGATACAAACTAAGGGGCACAATTCCTCCAAAATGGCAGCAATGATGGGACACAGTTCCTCCAAATGACAACAATGATTGGGCACAGTTCCTCCAAATTACACCAACAATGGGGACTAATGGTGGTGTACAATTCCTCCCAATGACACCGATGCTAGGGTATGATTCTTCCCAATAACACCAACGATGGCGCACAATTACTCTCACTGACTCCAAAGATGGGGTATGATTCTTCCCAATGATAGCAATGATGGGGCACAATTCCTCTCACTGTCACCAAAGATGGGCCACTATTCATCCCAATGACATCAATGATGGGGCATGATTCTTCCCAATAATACCAACGATGGCGCACAATTACTCTCACTGACTCCAAAGATGGGGTATGATTCTTCCCAATGATACCAATGATGGGGCACAATTCCTCTCACTGTCACCAAAGATGGGCCACTATTCATCCCAATGACAACAATGATGGGGCATGATTCTTACCAATGACACCAAGGATGGAGCACAGTTCCTCTCACTGACAAAAAAGATGGGGCATTGTTTACTCCCACTGATAGCAAGACATTTCCTACTCCCAATGGCCACAGCTCAGCCCCCCTTAATTCTGAAGGACTGGCCCTTTGTTTATAAAGTTTTGAGACCCCTGCTGTGTACTAACTCTTCTTTTTCATTGTTGGCAAGTAATGGATTTGAAGCAGAAGCAACCTTCTATCATAGAGGAAGGGTGCAGGCTGTCTGACATCTACAGAAGGCTACAGAATGTTTACGGAGATGACACCACTCACAAGAGTCACCAATGAGAAGACATTGCTCTTGTCAATGGTGTCATCTCTGTAATCATTCTGCAGTCTTCTGTGGATTTTGGACAGCCTGCACCCCTCCTTCCTCAAGAACTCAATGGTGGTATGTTGCCTCTGCTTGGAATCAGTCACAGGATGGGGGAAGGACAAGAGTTCTACTTAACTGCAGCAAAGAAAAATCAGGTCTCCTTCAGGACTGGATGGATAAAATTACAAATCTGTTGCAGGTGAAAAAGGGCCCGCTCCAATATATATATATATATATATATATATATATATATATATATATATATCATCTGTTTATATAAAGTGTTTTTAAACCCTTAACAATAAAATCAGTCTATATATGCAGTAAAGCATGCTTGTTATACTCACTGTGGAACCTAAGGGGTTAATCTGTATTGTGTAAAAAGGCTATTTTATCCTGTCATCTCTGATCCTCATCTTCTTCTACTGTCCCCAATCCATCTGATGATAGAACAGAGCCTTGGGGGCAAGCTGCACATGCCCAGTTTGCTGTATATTGCTAGAGAGGTTTTCTTTTTTGGGAGAGTGCATGTGACCAGCATAGAGCCAATCAGCACTGTCTATACAGAGGATCAGGGGTTATGCAGCCTTATAGAACAGTCAGAGGAGAATAAAAACTCCTCCTACAAGCTTTAATCAATGCCCAGCTGGACACTGATAGATGTCACAAGACTGCTATACACTGCTGATGAGAAAAGGTATTTAGCAGTTTATATTTACTAAAATAATTGCATTTCAATGTTGTGTGTACTGTGGGAGAGCAGATATGGTGAATAGGGTCCTGGGTTTAGTAACACTTCAAGTGTTTGTTTTATAGGCTGAAAACACCACTGTAGTATTGTGTATGGGCGAGCTTTTCAAAATAATACATCTGTAGGCCTCATGCACACTGGGCACCAAAAACCCCCTTTTAAGAGCAATTGAAGTTGTTTTTTCTGCCTTTAAATGCCCGTCCACGTTAGCCTACGTATCTATGCACACATGGACAATTAAAGGCATTTAGAGGCAGGGGCTTTTGGAGGCAGAAAAAACCCTAGAGTCGCCAGCATGTTCAGGAGAGGAATGTTTTACTGCTAAAATATGCCTGACCTGCCTAGACGCGTGTAAACGCATCTAAAGGCGCATTAACCTCTCTGGTGGTATGATTATTTCTGGTGCTGAAAGCGGTACCATTATTTTGCATGGAAATTTGGCGTTTTATATTGTAGGCCTGTAATTTTTAGGAATAACTCACTGAAATCTGTCCGAACAAGAGTCTATAAACATCCCGGATATGATAAAACTTGAAACACGAAATCATAAATTATAATTTAATAAATAATCATAAAAAATAATATAATAATAATAAATAAAACTTGAAACACGAAATCATAAATTATAATTTAATAAATAATCATAAAAAAAATAATATTATAATAATAAATTTAATTCAATAATATAATCAAACCAAAAACACTGAAATTTGAAATATAGCGCCAAGTTCGCACATCACTGAGCAAAGTCGCAAAATTGTTTTCAGTGTCTGATGACGAATTTCCCCACGAATCATTATCACTCAATTCTGCAAGTGGTTCTGATTTACTATCGCTGTTCTCTAGCCGGTCTAAAACCGCTTTTGACCTAAAGGGACGCTTTTAGGATGCCATGGACGTTTCTCAGTTTCCAGGCAGAAAGAACAGTAAAAATGCAGGCAGGGCACAGGACAAAGCACTCGGGACAAAATGTTTGTGAAATGGTTTGAAACAGTAATGTTATACTATGTCATTTTTGTTTATTAGAAAATGACAGTTTCTAAAATTTTTAAATTTGGCACCGGTTCCGGCCCCTGTACATCCCGTACGTCCCGACACTCGCAGGGACCGGAACATGGAAGCCGGATGCCGGCATCGGCCGGAGGAGATGGCCGGGGACGCTGCAGGGGACACATCACGGGAGCGAAGGACAAGGTAAGTGCTGCAGGGAATCCCAGAGCAACGCCGCATGGTAAGCCCGAGTGTAACTCGGGGATACCGCTTGTGGTACTGAAATTTTACCCCGAGCTACACTCAGGAATACCGCCAGGGAGGTTAACACTAGGTGCATCAAGAACGTGTTCGTTCATTCATTTGAATAGCCAGATTCATTTAATATTCTGGTCATTGAAATAAATGAAGTGCTTGATGCACCTAAATGCTCCTATTAACATTTGTAAAATGCAGCTTTAGGTGCATTTTTGACCTCTATTATGCCAGGAGAAAGGCGTTAAGAAAAGCTGGGCAAACGCCCATTTTGTATGGGGCCGTATTCATAAATGGACAGTTTTCCCCTTTCCTCAGAAAAATATTTCTGACACATTATTCAAAAAAGTAAATCAGGTCTTGTTAGATAAATCAGCAGAGAACCAGTTTGTATGAGGACAACTGGGAAAGCAGTTGGTCCAATCACAACCCACTCAGAGGAGCTGGAATCAGGCGGATAACAACGCCCAACAGCTCAGGTCAAAGCTTCATTTCTGGGCCTCAAGGGACGTCTTTTGAGAGCAAATCTTCATTGTTCTGTCATTTTGTTTTGGTCAGGACAATTTTACAGGATAATGAAAACTTTTCCTGACTCAGAGATTTATTTATAAAATGCAGCCTCGCCTCACTTAACAACATGTGTTATATATATTTTTATTGATTTTTTTTGTTATACTAATGATTAGTCACATTTTTAAGGATTATTGCCAAATATTCATTGTATCTTTTGTATTCTATAGTTTTCATCAGCCAATATGGGTGTTTGTGGTATACCCACACATCTTGGCCTGCAGTCTTTTACTTTTATATGGTCAACTCATTTGCAACAGCTGAAATATTTTTGGGAACATATGCCATTTTGATGTGTTTAGCCTGAAGCACCCTATAAAACAAAATGAACTTATCCTTTTTCCCCCCAATCCCTTGACTTAACTTACCTGGCCATCTAGAGATGCATATTTATTTTGTCTGATGGCCAAAGTTCCACAGTTTGTTTACATTCAGGGCTATAAGTCTTCACTGTCATACCTGCACATTACAACCCTATAGACATCTAAAGGACTGTCTCTGGCCTTAGGATGAAGGCCCATCAAGGGGGCACTAATGCACAGGTGTTGTCAGAACAGTGAAGACTTGCACCACTAGATGTAAGCAACAGAACCACTGCCATTGGAATTGAGGTAAGTACGCATCTATGGAGGGGAAGGATAGGTTAGGTCAGGGGAAAGGAGCAAAAATGGACAAATTAACTTTGTATTAAAGTGCCCTTATTCTTAAAGTTCCCTAGCGGTCTGATTATGTCAATATTTCTGTGCTCAAAGCGGTACATTTTTTGGCATGGAAATATGTAGTTTTTTTAATTGTAGGCCTGTCATTTTTAGGAATAACTCACTGAAATCTGTCCGAACAAGAGTCTAGTAAACATCCTGGGTATGTTAAAATGTGAGACACGAAATCATAAATTATAATTTAATAAATAATCATTAAAAATAGTAATATAATAATACATTTAATTCAATAATATAATCAAACCAGAAACACTGAAATTTGAAATATAGCGCCAAGTTCGCACATCACTGAGCAAAGTCGCAAAATTGTTTTCAGTGTCTGATGACGAATTTCCCCACGAATCATTATCACTCAATTCTGCAAGTGGTTCTGATTTACTATCGCTGTTCTCTAGCTGGTCTAAAACTGCTTTTGACCTAAAGGGACGCTTTTTGGACGCCATGGACTTTTCTCAGTTTCAAGGCAGAAAGAACAGTAAAAATGCAGGCAGGGCACAGGACAAAGCATTCGGGACAAAATGTATGTGAAATGGTTTGATACAGTAATGTTTTACTATGTGATTTTAGTGAATTTAGTGAATGTCACTTTTAAAATTGTCAAATTTACCGCCAGTTCCATCCCCGTACGTCCCAACGTCGCAGGGAATGGAACACGGAAGACAGATGCCGGCCGGAGGACATTGCCGGGGACACTGCAGGAGGGACATCGCGGGAGCGAAGGACAAGGTAAGTGCAGAAGAGATCCCGGAGCGGCGCGCTGCAAGGTATTCCCGAGTGTAGCTCGGGGTTACCGCTTGTGGTGCTGAAACTTTACCCCGAGCTACACTCGGGAAATACCGCCAGGGATGTTAATTGGTTTGATGATGTTGGTAAGTCCAAGTCATTTTGGGTATTTCACTTTTGACAGGGCCCTCCTCAATTAGAACCTGATAAATCTGTGCAAATGTGTGCAAATATATTGTAGTAAAAATTGTACCTGAGGAGATCTGCCTAATAGTGGCTCTGAAGACTGAGATTGAGCTCTGCAGTCACTTTTGCAGCAGTTGTTTTCTTATTCCGGGTCACAATCTTGCATAATGTCGTTTTGTCTCTTTCGGTCAGTTGACCACGCTTATGCTTATCAGATGACGTTTTCCCAGAAACTGTATATACCATCATAACCTTTGATACTGTACCTCGCGACATGGCAAATGAATTGGGAACTTCAGTCAAACAGGCACCAGCTAAGCAGGCACAAACAAATTGCCCTCTTTGAAGCTCAGTAAGCTCTGACATGACTACTAGTAGCGCATGCAGTGAATGACGAAAGAGAGGTTTCCGACCCGTTAGCTAGGTGTCTCATCACAAAGTGGACGCAAACATTTTTTACAACATTTCTGCTTTCAATGCGAAACATGTCATCACTTTCACACCTGTAAGTCATGTAATGTTTCCATTTTTTTATCTAACCCCCGTACCTAGTCTCAGGGCGCTCTGGCAGGGCTGCTGTTAGAAATCAGGGGGCCCCATACAGCCTAACAGAGCCTCCCCCCACTCAAAAAAATATAAAAAAATTATATTTTCATTAAGAATATGCTAAAATAATTAGAAGTGGGCAGCAGGAGGAATCAAATTCTGGACTGGGAATGTGTGTGTGTGTGTGGGGGGGAGGCAATTACAGGAACGATTCCTTGTGTGCTTTCCCTGCAGCAGCTGAAAGTTTATGGACGGGAGAGAAGGAGAAGGCAAATTTTAGCTGCTGCAGATAGAGACACCTAGGGGTTCTTGTAACAACTCCCTCCCCACTTCACCAATCACCCCCTCTCCTGCCCATATCCAAATTCCCTGCTGGCCTGGGCCCCATACAGGAGGACTGGTGCTACCCCTTATCAGCGTCCTTGTGCTCTGGTTTGATCATGTGATTAGCTCCCAGCAGCAGTTTTAGGGGAGAGGAGGGACAGCTGACTATGGATGGCCTACGACTCAAAGGCTTTCGCCTTTGGGTGACATCACTGCCCAGGCATTCCATCCATTGACAGCGCTCTATCATCTCCCAGAAGCCGTCAAATGTGGAGGTCATTTGACTGAACTGGTGTGCCTTGAGAATAGGTACGTATAAGCATCTGCCTTCTACAGGGTAGAATTGGAATTAGAAGGGGGGGTGGGAGCAGTTTTAAGCTGAGTTAGAGCTAGCCTGGAATTCTTCTTTAAATATGCCATTCATTGAGAACAGCTTTGACTTAATTTATGCTTGCAGTTTCTTTTTCATACAGTTTTTGTTACATGTTAATATTCTTTAAAACTATTTGTCCGATTTAAAAATATAGCACAATATCTATTCTTCTGCAACTTCCCACTGAGAATCTGATAAGGAGAAGTGACGGTTGGAAAACTCTTACCTTAACATTGTTGGGACATGGCTTTAGACAGCTTTTCCATTGGATGAGGTCAGCTATCTTTTGAGAAAGTAGAGAAGTGTTATCGAGCACTCTATCTCAGTTGATCAAACATTCCTTTAAAAACCATCTTTTGTGACAACACGATTAGTCTGGAGTTCAGATATCAGCGGCAAGACTAGGAGAATAAAGTCCACTTTTCTCCTTCCAAGTGCACAAAACAAAAACAGCAGAACAAAGAGGTCTGTGTAGGAGCTGGAGAAAGCTTCTCTAAAGGCTTCAGGAAGAAGAAGACTTTCAGGTTGAATCTCCCTTTTCGCTGTAACTCAAGTTTCATTGCTTTGTAATTCAGGTGGGGGAGAAAATGTCCTTAGAAGTCTTTGTTGACAGAGCTGAAATAAGCAGATGGTTAGGTCTCCTCTGGCGAAAATCTTATCTGACTTTTATTTTACTGGTTGTACTCTTGTGTTCATTCTAAAAGCTTTATCTGTGCATGACACATTATCACACTTAAAGAGTTCCTATAGGCAAAGATAAAATAGCATATTTTGTGCATCTCTTCAATACTTGTACAAAAAGCACATAAGAACAACTGTTGACATGCCAGAAATGTAGCGTGCTCCTACTTTCCCTTTTGATATGACAACACAGTAGGGATGATTTACTAAAACTGGAGAGTGCAAAATCTGGTGCAGCTCTGCATGTTCAATTAACCCCCCTGGCGGTATTCCTGAGTGTAGCTCGGGGTAAAGTTTCAGTACCAAAAACGGTAACCCCGAGCTACACTCTGGCTTACCATGCGGCGCTGCTCCGGGATCCCTCGATCACTTACCTTGTCCTGCGCTCCCGCGATGTCCCTCCTGCAGTGTCCCCTGTAATGTCCTCCGGTGGATGCCAGCATCTGTCATTTGGGTTCCATCCCCTGCGACGTCAGGACGTACGGGGACGGAACGGCGGGAAATTTGAAAATGACAAAAAGTGACATTCACTAAATTCACTAAAATCACATAGTAAAACATTACTGTATCAAACCATTTCACATACATTTTGTCCCGAGTGCTTTGTCCTGTGCCCTGCCTGCATTATTACTGTTCTTTCTGCCTGGAAACTGAGAAATGTCCATGGCATCCAAAAAGCGTCCCTTTAGGTCAAAAGCGGTTTTTAGACCAGCTAGAGAACAGCGACAGTAAATCAGAACCACTTGCAGAATTGAGTGATGATTCCTGGGGAAATTTGTCATCAGACACTGAGAACGATTTTTTGCGACTTTTTGCTCAGTGATGTGCGAACTTGGCGCTCTATTTCAAATTTCAGTGTTTTTGGTTTGATTATATTATTGAATTACATTTATTATTATGATATTATTATTTTTTATGATTATTTATTAAATTATAATTTATGATTTCGTGTTTTCAAATTTTAACATACCTGGGATGTTTACTAGACTCTTGTTCGGACAGATTTCAGTGAGTTATTCCTAAAAATGACAGGCCTACAATAAAAAAAATACATATTTCCATGCAAAAAATTTACCGCTTTGAGCACAGAAATATGGACATAATCAGACCGCTAGGGAGGTTAAGCTTTGACAAAAAAAAAATAAAACTGGAAGCTGATTAGTTTCTATGCACAGCTGCACCAGTTTTTGCACTCTCCAGTTTTAGTAAATCAACTCCATTGCATTTTTGTCTTGAAATTGCAAAGTTTTTGTTGTCAACCCTACCTACTTCATTTCTGATGCATTATTATTATTATTATACAGGGTTTATATAGCGCCAACAGTTTGCTCAGCACTTTACAATATAATGGGAGACAATACAGCAACAATACAGTTCAATACAGGAGGGTTAGGAGGGCCCTGCTCCTTGGAGCTTACAATCTAAGCAGCAAAGAACATCACTCTCTTCTGATCTATCTTCATCCTCATCTCGATAATCCTTCCTTAGAAAGCACAAGAAGTTATTAGCTCACAAGATTTCTAGCAGATCTCTTGTACTTAGCCTCCATTTACGCATGCATCTTTCTGCTCGTTTCTCTGCACATGACTACTCTGTACTATGCCTGGTTACGCAGAATCTAATTCTTTCAAATTGTGCCTAGTCGCCCTACTCTCAGAAAGTAAATGCGTTTTTACACCTGAAGAATTCCTCTCCTCCTATAGTACTGCTCTCCTCCCTTTGCCCAGCCCAAGAAAAAACTCCTGAAATTTGATGCACATGCAAAAACACCAGTAAAATGCTTGCAATATGTCTGAAAAACGCCTTTATAAGACACTTCAAAATCACAAGCAATACACTCTGCTCAGGAGTAAATGCAGGCTAATTGAATGTATATAATAACTTTCAGTGGTGCTTTTAACAGACCAAAAAGGAGCAAATAAGACAACATAATTGTATGGCTTTACATACGCTTTAACTTCCTTTCATGTTTCCCTGATTAACCTCCCTAGCGGTCTGATTTCTGTGCTCAAAGCGGTACATTTTTTTGCATGGAAATATGTATTTTTTTTATTGTAGGCCTGTAATTTTTAAGACTAACTCACTGAAATCTGTCCGAACAAGAGTCTAGTAAACATCCCGGGTATGTTAAAATTTGAAACCAGAAATCATAAATTATAATTTAATAAATAATCATAAAAAATAATAATATACTAATAATAAATTTAATTCAATAATATAATCAAACCAAAAACACTGAAATTTGAAATATAGCGCCAAGTTCGCACATCACTGAGCAAAGTCGCAAAATCGTTTTCAGCATCTGATGACAAATTTCCCCACGAATCATTATCCCTCAATTCTGCAAGTGGTTCTGATTTACTATCGCTGTTCTCTAGCTGGTCTAAAACTGATTTGGACCTAAAGGGACGCTTTTTGGACGCCATGGACGTTTCTCAGTTTCCAGGCAGAAAAAAACAGTAAAAATGCAGGCAGGGCACAGGACAAAGCATTCGGGACAAAATGTATGTGAAATGGTTTGGTACAGTAATGTTTTACTATGTGATTTTAGTGAATTTAGTGAATGTCACTTTTTGTCATTTTCAAATTTCCTGCCATTCTGTCCCCTGTACATCCCGACGCTCGCAGGGGATGGAACCCAGATGACAGATGCCGGCATTTGATGGATTACATTGCCGGGGACACTGCAGGAGGGACATCGCGGGAGCGCAGGACAAGGCAAGTGATCGAGGGATCGCGGAGCAACGCCGCATGTATTCCCGAGTGTAGCTCGGGGTTACCGCTTGTGGTACTGAAACTTTACCCCGAGCTACACTCGGGAATACCTCCAGGGAGGCTACCCCACATGGAAGAAAAATATACAGTATTTGAAAAATATTCTTCTCAAATATATTGACATATATTTGAAATATTACAATTTTGGCCGTAGTCAATATATTTAAAAAAAAAAATTATATATATATATATATATATATATATATATATATATATATATATATATATATATATATATATATATATATATTGCATGTTGAAATACGTTTTTTATATATTACAAAATAAAGGAAAAAATATATTCTTCAGATTTTTTTAAACATATATAAAAAAGTAATTTTTACATATTTTTTTTACATATATTTGTAAATGCATTCCAAAAATGTAGATTAAATGTATTTTAAACACATACAGTATATTTGAAAATGTATTTTTAAAAAATATTTTTCATATTTTTGTAATGAAAACGCATTTCAACATACAGTGTGTATATATATATATATATATATATTGAAATATATTTTGAAATATATTGCATATGGCCAAAACTGTAATAGTTCAAATATATGTCAATATATTAGGGAAGAATATTTTTAAAATATATTTAAAATATATTTTTCTCTTCCATGTGGGAAGAATCAGGAACTTGTGGAAAATGTTATTGTGAGTCAATGGGGTAGATTAAAGCTGGTGCACTCAGAATCTGAAATAGCTGTGCATGGCAGCCAATCAGCTTCTAACTTTGCTTGTTTAAATAAGCTTTGGTTATAAAACCTGAAGGCTGATTGGTTGCTATGCAGAGTTGCACCAGATTTTTCACCCTCCTGTTTTAGTAAATAACCAATATTATGTCAAAAATTAACAACCAAAACTTAAAGCAGAACTATAGACATTTTTTGTTTCATTTTGGATAGAGCAAGGGAGGGTGTAACCCCTGACAGTTTTTCTGACATGTTTGCCCCATTGGAGAGATTTACCTTCGTCCCATAGCCAAAACAGAAAGTGAGAGTAAACCCCTGCAAATTAAGGGAATCCCTAGGGAATCCCCAGGTCACCAGAACTAGGGTTCCCTATTGGAAAATGTTCTCTCTATTACATTTCTGGGGACAATCCAATATATGGGAATTTCTTTTACTTTCAATGATAATGGTAAACAGGAAAAATAGAGATGATGAATACTCTTAAAGGATAAGTTTACCTTTTTACAAAAAATAACAAATGCACATTTTTTTAAGGTAAAAAAAATGTGCATTTATTTTTATTTTTTTTCTGGAACCTGTAAAGCAGTGCACCAATGATTAGCAGATCTCTGGTGCCATGCAGGTCTCCTGCAGACTTGTTAGTATATCTGTTTACCCGTACGGGATGTACAGCCAAGCAGATATACTGACAGGAAGAATCAATGAATTACCACGGCGCTCCACAGTGCGTGATAGTTCATTGAGAACTAAAAGCCGACAGCCACAAAGGCTGTGGGACTGGTAGCTCACTTATTCACAGAACATTGTGAATGAATGATGCAGCTGGGGGTGCAGCGCCGCTCAACCCTGATAATTTGAAATTGTGACAGCTAGCGGGGAGGAGAAGATCCCCCACTAGCTGTCACAATGGGGAGTGAGGAGGATGGATGGGGGGCGGTCCATTGGTAGCATGTTACATGTTACACCCTGAATATTACAAAAGGTGAACAGCTTCTTTTACTAGGGCACAGACAGTCCTAGGTGTACTAATCCATCTACACTCTATCCAAAACTAAAAAAAAAAGTTTTGCCTTTTGTTATACTTTAAAGTCACTGGTTGGCCAGCAGTGGCCAGTTCTAAGAAAAGCCTTGGGTAGTCAGGAGAGTATTATTGGTGTTGTGCATTGTGGCTGAGGAATACTCTACATAGTAAACATGGCACCAAGACTACTTCTGGAATGATTCCAGAAAGTTCTAACATGCAAAGGGTCCAAACATAATATGACCATGGTCCCACGGGCATTAAGTTGTTTGTCCAGTTAAAGAAAAAACAAAAACTGTTTTTTATTTTTGAATAGAGTGGGGAAAGATCAGAACTCCAGTTGGATTTTTACTTCTCTGCAGGGCTCCATTAGATAGATTTCTACTTTCTTACATTTCTTTCAGGGCAGCACAGTGGCTTAGTGGTTAGAACTTCTGCCTTGCAGTAATTGGCTCATGGGTTCAGTTCCCAACCATGGTGCCTCCTGCATGGAGTTTGCATGTTCTCCCTGTGTTCACGTGGGTTTTCTCCGGGTAAGCCTGTCATAGGCTAATAAGGAGGTGAGTGCACAACTTAATCAAACTAAGGAATCACCGGAAATGTATATTTTATTTGAATCACATCACTGGGAGTTGTCACCTTATTTCAACAGAGACTTCTTTGCATTATTCATATTTATTTTTATAGTAGTCACTACTGTATATATTTATTTGATCACATTCTTTTTTGTTTTTTGATCACATTGTTTTTGGATTTGATCATTAAAATGGTTTTTTGGGATTATTATTTAGATTATGTTTTAGGGATTTATTGAGCTGATTTATATATATTTTTTATATTTTCACTCAGATTGGGAGCACGACAAATATTAATCATTTTTTTGGTACTCCGGTTTCCTCCAACACTCCAAAGACATGCTGGTAGGTTAATTAGCTCCTGTCCAAATTGTCCTAGTTTCATTCCTGGCCACGTGGGATTTCCTGCATGGTAGGGGTTGGGGAAAGACCTGGCAACCGACCCTGTAAAATAATTGCTAAGAGAATTCATGAAAAAAGTCGCTTACAAGTGACGGTCCATGTAATCACCAAGGGTTGGATACGACTGAATAGATAGACATCTCTTTCACAGCACTTTCAGCAAAGAGCAAGTGAGGGATAACCTTGAACAGACAGCATAAAAAGGTAACAGGGCTTTAGCATTCACCTACTTTCATTCATTTTTGTGTTGCAGTTGGAGGTTTTCACTCACTTTCTGTCAGGTAAAACTGTTGTCATCAGGAAGGACACTAAGTGGGAGAAAATCTTCCTGAAAGAAAGCTAGAGAACCCAACAGGGATTCTAATCCTATCTAACTCTATCCAAAACAAAACAAAAAAAAGTTTTGGGAGGACATACTCTTTAAAGACTCCTAACCAACGTTATGAGTCTGCCATGGCATTGGCCTTTCTAAATATATTTATTCTTACCCACACATGGGAGAAAAATATATTTGAAATATATTTTAAAAATATTCTTCCTAAATATATATTGACATATATTTGAAATGTTACAATTTTGGCCATATTCAATATATTTTTTTTTAAAAAAAACTGAAGAATATATTTAAAAATATATATATTTTTTAAAATATATATTTTTAAATATATTCTTCAGATTTTTTTTTAACATATAAAAAAGTAATTTTAACATATATTTTTCCATATATTTGTAAATGCATTCCAAAAATGTAGATTTGTATTTTTAAAGACATACAGTATATTTGAAATGTATTTTTAAAAATATTTTCATATATTTTGTAATAAAAATGCATTTCAACATACAGTATATTATTATTATTATTATACAGTATTTATATATAGCGCCAATAGTTTGCCCAGCGCTATACATTATAATGGGAGACAGTACACGAGACAAGACAGTAACAATACAATACACGAGGGGTTCGAGGGCCCTGCTCCTTGGAGCTTACAAACTAGGAGGGAGGGGAAAGTGGTACAGGAGGAAAATAGCTGTGGGGGATGGAGTGGTGGGAAGAGCGGAGGAGATCAGCAATTAGGTGAGGGCTGGGTAGGCTTCTCTGAAGAGATGGGTTTTCAGGGTGCACGTAATAGTGAGGAGGGTAGGTGACAGTCTGATGGATTAGGGAAGTGAGTTCCAGAGGATGGGGGAAGCCCTGGAGAAGTCCTGGAGACGGGCATGGGAGGAGGAGACCAGGGATCTAGAGAGCAGGAGGTCTTGTGAGGAGCGGAGAGTGCGTTTTGGGTGGTAGATGGATATCAGGTTGGTGATGTACTGTAGTTTGGGGCAGTGTTATGAACAGTGGGCAGTGTTTGTACGTCAATGTTAATATTTTGAATTTTATGCATTGGGCAATCGGAAGCCAGTGGAGGGATTGGCAGAGGGGGATGGCGGATACGGAGCGGTTGGTGAGGTGGATAAGTCTGTCCGCAGAATTCAGGATAGACTGAAGCAGGGATAGCCTGTGTTGGGGTAGGCCGGCGAGGAGGGCGTTGCAGTAGTCAAGTCGTGATATGATAAGGGAGTGAATGAGTTGCTTTGTGGTTTCTGGAGTTAGGAACGGACGTATTTTGGAGATGTTGCGGAGGTGGAGTCTGCATGAATTTGTCAGCGATTGGATCTGCGGCTGGAAATATATATATATATATATATATATATATATAGATATATTTTTTTTTAATATATTGAATATGGCCAAAATTGTAGCATTTCAAATAAATTTATGTCAATATATTTGGGAAGAATATTTAAAAAACATATTTCAAATATATTTTTCTTCCATATGGATACTTAAAGCTGAACTCAGCTGTAAACTTTGAAAAACATCCACATTGCAGTTCTAGCCATGGCCATCTTCAGTAATGACAGATGTTTCATGTAGCATTTACTTACTGGAATCCATCTGCCCTTAGCTCAGGCATACAGGCAGGAGGGTTTGCTTAGCTGAGAAAACCCCTCTTCCCCTTCTGCAAATGAAAGTAAAAAAGGCCCTTGCAGATTCCTGGGATGGCATAGTTTTAGCATAGGGAAAAAAATCATGCAGCAACTGTAGAAATGTCCAAAATAGGTTATAACAAGTAAATAGAATATAACTTCCTATCTACTTGCTAAGGCTAGCAGCATAAGGATTAAAAATAGTTAATGTTGATTGAGCAAGTTCAGTTCTGCTTTAACATCATAGTGTCCAAAGAATAAAAACTGAAATGTTTAGCAAGGAGCAGGGGCGGACTGACAACTCATGGGGCCCCCGGGCAATAGGGGATAATGGGGCCCCTGTGTCCTTGCCCAAACTCAATAAAGCCTATGAAAAAGGTACCAGGGGCATCTCATGGGGCCCCCTACTGACCCCGGGCCCTCGGGCAGTGCCCGAGTTTCCAAATGGTCAGTCCGCCCCTGGTAAGGAGATACCTTTATGAGGCTCCCTGGCCTCCAATATACATTGTTCTCTATTTAGTACTAAACTAGCCTTCAAAATATTTTTCCATACAGCTCTTCTTTTCCACAATTGAAGGCAGCAGAAAAAAATTAGACAGAAAATAGTCTTCTACAAAAAAAAAAATAGCCTAGGTGTGTAAGTGGGGTCTAACTATATAGGAGGACATTAGACTGTAAACCCCTATGAAGCAGGAACCAATGTAATTGGTTTGGTGTTCTTTATAAAGTGGTCTCTGTAAATTTAAAGCATCAGCGCTGTATAATGAACAAAATAAACAGGTGGTACATATAACTGTACTATAATATAATTAATATAGACCTAGAGAAACATACACCTGAAAGATAACAAGAATACCTTTGATTAGCAAAGCTACTTCGTGTCTGTATAATGTGACATGATTTCAGAATTCAAGCCTTGAGAAAGGAAAATATGCAGAGTGTCATGTTATATTTTTCATCGCAGTAGTCTTTGCTTCTTAATAACCTCAAGTTAGATCAGCCAAAACCATATGTGACACCTCCGAGGTCTGTATTTCGATTTTAGACCTTGGTAGACATTTTTGTTGATTTACCTGACTAAAAACGTTAAGAGGAACACAAAAAATGGAGCTTTGAATAGACGTGTCTTGCTTTTTATCACTCGTAGCCTTATTTTCTGAAGGGTTTCCTGAACTTTCTAAAGCTGCAAGAAAATCTGTATGGTCTGCATAGGAAGAGAAGGTGACTTTATGACTACCAAAAGGAGTAAAAGAATTTTTGACAGTAATTATTTTAATAGCTAAAAGGGAGGTTTCCGCTTGTGCTCAGAAGTGTACCGGCTGTTATTTTAACTCGATTGGTGACGATGGATCTTTCATGGAAAGATGGATCCTCATCAGGGATGGAACCAAAGCACTCAGGTCAAAGGTCATTCATAACTACACTGGCTCCATATTGTTGTCTGTTAAAAGGAAATTGTTTCGCACTTTTTTCCTCTGAAATACTAGAAAATTGGTTGACTTCAGAAAAAGTTCTAGTTGTCACCCCGAGGGTAAAAATGAACATAAATATTAACTGAAGTGTTAGATCTCTGATAACTCATAGATTTTAGACAAAGTATTTGCTTGATGGTTGGAACTTGTAGACTGATAGTCTAACAAATCTGGGAGCAGAAATAACTTACTGAAAGTCAGCAGAGCTAAAGTGTTATAAAGAACAGACCTTACAACTCTTCTACCCACCCTGTTCTTTTAATGAGGGCTTACTTTTCTGGGGTGCATTAAAATAGAGCTAAAGGCAAAACATTTCTTTTTTTTTTTCATTTTGGATACAATAAGGGAGTTATATAACCCCTCATTTTTTTCGCCATTTGTGTCCCTTTGGGGAGAGTTTCCATCATTTGCTGTCCCATAGCTAATACAGGAAGTGATGGGAAATCCCTCCAAAGTGAGGGAATCCCTGATTGTCACCAGGGTCATCAGAACTAGTGTCCCCAAAGGAAGATTTCCTCTCTATTACTGTTCTAAGGATAACTAAAAATTTGGGATTTTCTTTCACTTTCAAAATAAAAGTGCTGCCCAAAATGCAGCAACATGTGGAATGTGACCCTTATAATATAAGGAACATGGTGCTTGTAATATGCTTTTGGGTGAGATCTTATCAATGTACAAGAGCTTTATTAAACATAACACAAAAGTTGGCATAACTTTTTATTGACTTACTTAAGTCTTTCAAATTTCACATGTTGGTATAGTAACTTCCTCTATAGTAATTCTTTTTTTTTATTGCAGATAAATAATGGATTCCATGCAGAAACAACATGCAGTCATTAGGTTCTTGATGAAGGAGGGGTGCAGTGATGGTCCTCCACTGCATAAATTGTTTTCAGTGTTGGTTTCTCCTTCTTTAAATTTCTTCAATGATCTGTGCACATTGCTCTTGTTAAAGTGGAGTTCCACTCACCTGTCAAAAAATAAAAGTTATCAGCTACGAAAACTGTAGCTGCTGACTTTTAAAAAACAACCACTTACCTGTCCCTCAGTCCCGTGGTATGTCCCCTGCAGCCTGTTTCACTAGCCATCCTGGATTCCAGGAGGCCTGCATCTTCAGTGTGGGTACCCGGCTGGGATAGCTTGCGGCTTCACAGCCTGCGCATGCGTGAGTAGTGCTGCGCTTCATGAATGGTCCTGTAGTCTTCTGGAACCTGTCACGTGTCCCAAAAGTCTACAGGAAGGGAGGACATCTTCCATTTCCAATCGCCCCTTTTGGCTGGAGCTTCGCTTTAATGTGTTATCTCCATAAACATTCTGTAGCCTCCTGTGGATGTCATATAGCCTGCACCCCCTTTGTCAACAACTCAATGATGGCACATTCTGCTTAGAATTCATTACTTACCTGCAATTAAAAAGAAGAAGAATTACTCTACCAACATGATGTGATGTTGGTATGTAAGTTTATTTATTTCAGGTACTTATATAGCGCTGTCAATTTACGCAGCGCTTTACATATATATTGTACATTCACATCAGTCCCTAACCCTCAAGGGGTATACAATATAAGGTCTCTAACTCACATTCATACATAGATATACTAGGGACAATTTCGACAGGAGCCAATTAACCTACCAGCAAGTCTTTGGAGTGTGGGAGGAAACCAGAGTACCCGGAGGAAACCCACGCAGGAACAGGGAGAACATGCAAACTCCAGGCAGGTGGTGCCGTGGTTGGTATTTGAACCAACGATCCTAGTACTGCCAGGCTGAAGTGCTAATCATTTAGCCACTGTGCTGCAAGTTAATAAACATGTTATGCTCATGCTTGCATTACTTTCGGTATAGCCCTCGTATATCAGGAGGGTTAAACACATGGAAAGCACATAGAGTACCAAGTTTAGAAAATGCTATCTGTTCTAAATTTTCTTGGCACAGCAAGACAAAATCTGGTATACTGTAATAGAAAGGGATTCACAGCTCACATAGGACAGCTTGTACACAATGTAGCTGGAGACTTGCAACGTCCTTAGATCTGAGATATGCTTTCCATGACACGAGATGAACCTTTTTTTAACCTTTGTTCTTTAGGACAATCATGATATATGCATGTGACTTCATTTTGGATGAGCATGTATGTTGAAGCGCTGAGCAGACAATGTTATACCATGGAAAAATTCACTGTGTATTTTACTTACTGTTGTTGAAATTTTGTGGTGGATGAGGTAGACAGAAAATTGAACCCTACCTTCTTTCTCCTTCTCCAAATAAGCCTACATCCAGCACCGTGTTTAAACCTTATCAAAAAGGTAACTTTTGGGGAGAGAGAGCAACACTGTCTCCCTGACAGCGAGTCTTATGACTTAGTGGCTCGGCATCGGTTGGGTGTTCTCTGCCACTGGTTAGGTGGTTCTTTTAGTCATCGTTCACAGCAAGGAAGAAAGGCAGGGAGAGAAGTAAGGTAGACAGGTCTTATATGAGTTTTAATAATTTTCTTTGTAAAACAAATTATATTTTAGTCCTATCTGTATCTCTGTTCAAGAGATTTCCCTTGACTTCCAGTCCTCGTGAAGCCATGAGGTTGATTTACTAAAGACTTAGTAAATAGGGTAAAGCTTCACTTTGCAAAGAATACCCAATCACATGCAAAAATAAAAAATACAGAATTTTTGCTTGCACGATTGGATGATGGAAGTCAGCAGAGCTTCTTCGTATCTGCTAAGCTCTGGAGCAACTGCACAGTCTGTTTGCCTTTAGTAAATCAATCCCCTTGCCTTAAGCGTGTAATGCAGGCCATAGATGGGTCGAAAATCGGCCGATTTGTCGGCCGAAAATAAAATCGGCCGATTTTTGGATCGTTAGTGGGCGATTTGGTCGGCCGTTTTTCGGTATTTTGGCCGTTTTTGTTTTTCGGTAAAGTTGGAAAAAAATCGGCCGATTTTGCCGATCGACCGATTTTCGCGGCAATTAGTGGGCAAATCGGCCGATTTTTTTTTTTACCGATAAAAAATCTGCGCATGAGCAGTGACCTGCAAGAGGAAGACAAAAAGAAGAAAAAGAAGAAGAGGAAGAGGATGAAGAAGAGGATGAAGAAGAAGAAGAGGAAGAAGAGGATGAAGAAGAGGATGAGGATGAAGAAGAAGAAGAGGATGAGGATGAAGAAGAAGAAGATGAGGATGAAGAAGAAGAGGATGATGATGAAGAAGAAGAGGATGAGGATGATGAAGAAGAGGATGAGGATGAGGAAGAAGAAGAGGGTGAGGATGAAGAAGAGGAAGAAGAGGATGAGGATGAAGAAGAAGAAGAAGAGGATGAAGAAGAAGAAGATGAAGAAGAAGAAGAGGATGAGGATGAAGAAGAAGAAGAAGAAGAGGATGAAGAAGAAGAAGAAGAAGAAGAGGATGAAGAAGAAGAAGAAGAGGATGAGGATGATGAAGAAGAAGAAGAGGATGAGGATGAAGAAGAAGAAGAAGAAGAAGTAGTAGATGAAAATAAGAATTCCAGTCCAGCAAAAAGTATCTCTGCAGAGAGCTCCGCTATTTCTGACAGTTCTCTGACAGTTCTTTGACATTTACAGCGGTTGAAAACATTGTATCTATTTGTTTCCGAATAAAAACATCTGTATCCTAAATGGAAACAAATAGATACAATGTTTCAACCGCTGTAAATGTGAAGGAACTGTCAGAGAACTGTCAGAAATAGCGGAGCTCTCTGCAGGGACACTTTTTGCAGCTGTAGAAGGGATGAAAAATCGGCCGATTTTTTTTACCATTGATGGTAACGTCGGCCGCTTGATTGACCGAATTTTTGTTTTTTAAAAGAAAAATCTGCCGTTTTTTTCTCCCCATCTATGGCCTGCATAAGGGTGTGTTAACTCAATTCTCCGTTTGGCTACTAGGTGGCGTCCTCTAATAGCTTACAAATTGTGTGTAGATTGAGAATGAGTCAGTCCAGGTGGAAACGTAGTACTGAGAGGAGATAGTTGCTGGAGTTGGCCCACATGGGACTAGTTGGGGCCCTATTCAGAGCCATTATCCCTGTAAGAGACAAGTTGTTCCCAACTGGGGGATACCTGTGATGCCCTTGAACCTTAGCTGGGAGTAGTTGAAGGTTCAGGAACTGAGGGAAATCTCACTAAGTAGGACACAGACAGCATATTATAACCCTTCTACGCTTCAAAGATAAAGAAATTAATTGGGCTGAAGTTGAGCTTTTAAGTAGAATACCTATTTTCAGGCTGCTCCAGTCCATCACTGTGTTAGCCAGTGGCAACTGCAGGGGAGAGGAGAGAGAGTGCCCAACAGTGCCTGGAAAGTCTGGGAGTGGTGACCTCACCCATAAGATCCTATGGTCCATCCATTGATGCTTCTTCCTCTCCCCTACAGCTACTGCTGACTGACACAGTGATGGACCAGAGCGGGTTTAAAATTGGTAAATATATACATCTTTCTTACACAGCTTAGTCAGCCTAGGTGTTAGGATGTCGAAAGGAGCATTAGTTGGGTATAGCCTAGAATTCCATGGTAAGTAGCAGCTGAAGTCAAATTTGGAATTTAGGTCTGCTTTAACTGTTCAACATGTGTTTTGCTCAGTTGCTGGGCAGACTTAGAAAGTGAAATGCTCATTTTGGCCCTGGAAGCACAATCAGTTGCTGACTCTAATCTTGTTTTGACAGGCGCTTTGTGATACGGTGAAACACAAGCACAGGTATTTGTCTATTGAGTGTACTGAAACCTTACTCCACACAGCCAGAACACAGCAATTTGGTGTTGGCAGGGAACATCATTAGGTGCATTTAGATCATTATCTCGCTAAGAGACCGGAGGGTCCCATTCACATTTTCTGTTTTTAACTGCTTCCGTAACCGAGGAAAAGAATCCCTACCCAGAGGATATTGTGGTTCACGTCTTTAAATTTAAGATTTGAACTAATTTGTGCTTCATTTAAAGCAAAGAGTGGAGCACAAAAATGCTGTAACTACAACTTACGTATTGCAGAATGATGATTAAATAAGTGGTTCGGTGTCACTTTTGTTGTCAGGTGTGATTTTTGTAACGGCTGAAGAGTTAAACCACACCTGATAGTTTCATATATCTCTTGGGGGCTCCCTTGGCAAGATCTCTGCGCTCCACATGGTGTGGCCATTATGAGGGGGTGGTATGCTCCCTTTTGGATTTTTTTTTAGATTTTATGTAGAATGCAACATAATATGCAAGATATATAAGACGCCAGGAGCTACCTCTAGGTTTCACTAGTAACTGAAATGTTACATTTGCATGGACTGATCCTAAAATGAAAATTGTTTTCCAGGCTTGTATAAACATAACGGGGATAAGCAAATGTTGTTTAAATGTAGGGATTCTGTGTATTCCTACTTGAATCTATAGTTGTGTTCAAAATAATAGCAGTGTGTTGAAAAAAAGTGAATAAAGCTCAAAATACTTCTAATAGCTTTTATTTCCATATATACAAATGCATTGGGAACACTACACATTCTATTCCAAATCAAAACATGAAGAAAAATATATCAAATTTGTGTTGTTCCTCTAAAAAAATTGAAGAAAATTGAACATTAGACTGTTCAAAAAAATAGCAGTGTTTGTGTTCTTCTTTACAAACTAAAACATTCACTATAGAAACTGAAAAATGTTTGAAGATTTTGCTTTCCTTTGAATCACTTAATGAATATTTCGTTGTATAAGCACTGTTTCTGAGAACTGCTGTACATCTGTGTTGCATGGAGTCAACCAACTTCTGGCACCTGTGATCAGGTATTCCAGCCCAGGATGATTGGACTACATTCCACAGTTCTTCTCTATTTCTTGGTTTTGCCTCAGAAACTGCATTTTTGATGTCACCCCACAAGTTTTCTATTGGATTAAGATCCGGGGATTGGGCTGGCCACTCCATAACATCAATCTTGTTGGTCTGGAACCAAGATGTTGCATGTTTACTGGTGTGTTTGGGGTCGTTGTCTTGTTGGAACACCCATTTCAAGGGCATTTCCTCTTCAGCATAAGGTAGCATGACCTCTTCAAGTATTCTGATGTATTCAAACTGATCCATGATCCCTGGTATGCGATAAATAGGCCCAACACCGTAGTATGAGAAACATCCCCATATCATGATGCTTGCACCACCATGCTTCACTGTCTTCACAGTGTACTGTGGCTTGAATTCAGTGTTTGGGGATCGGCTGACAAACTGTCTCCGGCCACTAGACCCAAAAAGAACAATCTTACTTTCATCAGTCCACAAAATGTTGCGCCATTTCTCTTTAGGCCAGTCAATGTGCTCTTTGGCAAATTGTAACCTCTTCAGCACATGTCTTTTGTCAACAGTGGGACTTTGCGGGGGCTTCTTGCAGATAGCTTGGCTTCACATAGGCGTCTTCTAATTGTAACAGTATTAACAGGGAACTTTACACCTTCTTTGATCTTCCTGGAGCTGATTGTTGGCTGAGTCCTTGCCATTTTGGCTATTCTTCTATCCATTCGAATGGTAGTTTTTCACTTTCTTCCACGTCTTTCAGGTTTTGGTTGCCATTTTAAAGCATTTGCAATCATTTTAGCTGAGCAGCCTATCATTTTCTGCACTTCTTTATATGTTTTCCCCTCTCCAATCAACTTTTTAATCAAGGTATGCTGTTCTTCTGAACAATGTCTGGAATGACCCATTTTCCTCAGAATTTCAGAGAGAAATGCACTGTAACCAGCATGTACAACATTTGCTGCCTTCCTTCCTTAAATAAGGGCAATAATTGCCACCTGTTTTTCAAAGAATGAATGACCTCACTAATAGAACTCCACACTGCTATTATTTTGAACATGCCCCTTTCAATTAGTGATTCAATTACACAGAATCAGCATGTCATGACTGTTGGGTCTGTTGGATTTCTATTACTCTACTACACCTTCTAGTAAATGATTTGCCATGTAGAAATATCATTTCTACCAAAAACAGTGATTGATCAGATTAGTGATGTCTGACTGCTATTATTTTGAACACAACTGTATGTGTCCTTTCAGATTTGTGTAGTAATAGAGCATAAAATGTTCCTTTGTGTAGTAAAGACCGATCACTGCTGCTCTCTCTCCTTGTGCAGAGTGGCTGGTCTTGTCTCCGCCCCCTCCTGTACTTTTCTGCTTTTCTACTGGCAGCATGTAGTGGCTGGAGCCTGATGACCCCTCCCACAGCTCTTCTCTCTGCACAGGACATGTACAGTGTAGTGAAGACGTCATTGCTATTGCACCAAGGTATTAACTGCGTTGGCAAAGACATTTGGTGCACACAAAGTTGATTTATATTCTTTGTGGCTGTCGAGGAATACTTTTGAATGATTTTTATTTTGTGCCTGGAATACAGATTTAAAACTTGACTAGCTCTTTTGATTCAGCTGCTTGGTAACATAAGTTCGCCCCCAAAGACTCCCCTTTTTATCAGGGCTCAAAAGTTCCGATTTCATGATATACTATATAAGTAAACTTTTGTATTCAGTTCACATTTCAAGGAACAGCTACAACTAAATAAAAGTTTCAAAATAAATCTGCCCCCATGAATAAGAAAAACATGTTGGACTCTGACCTTCGTATTTGGTTAATACAATATGATATATTTATTTCACTCAAAAATATAGCAGTAAGTAATTTATGTGAACTCGACTCAGGGCTTTTTCTGTCGGTGTCGGTACTTCCTGTCCTGCCTCCCAAGCACCACTTAAATTTTCCCCACCTCTCAAACACATCCCTGCTACTCCCTTTTTTAAAGAAAAAGAAAACAACATATTATGTGGGCATTGATATAATATTATATGGTAAGCACTGCACAGTATACGCAGTGATTTATAATAAAATGTCTGGATGTGGCAAAAAGTGTGGTCTAGCAGGTACCCTCCTATAGTAATAACCACTGGAGGTCTAGCAGGTACCCTCCTATAGTAATAATCACTGGAGGTCTAGCAGGTACCCTCCTATAGTAATAACCACTGGAGGTCTAGTGGGTGCCCTCCTATAGTAATAATCACTGGAGGTCTAGTGGGTTCCCTCCTATAGTAATATTCACTGGAGGTCTCATGGGTGCCCTCCTATAGTAATAATCACTGGAGGTCTAGTGGGTGTCCTCCTATAGTAATAATCACTGGAAGCCTAGTGGGTGCCCTCCTATAGTAATAATCACTGGAAGCCTAGTGGGTGCCCTCCTATAGTAATAATCACTGGAGGTCTAGTGGGTGCCCCATAGTAATATTACTAGTGGTCTAGTGGGTGCCCCCTATAGTAATAATCACTGAAGGTCTAGTGTGTGACCTCATCCATAGTAGTAATCCCTGGTGGTCTAGTGGATGCTCTGCTATAACAATAATCACTGGAAGTCTGGTGGATACCCTTCTATAGTAATAATCACTGGAGGTCTTGTGGGTGCCTTTCTATAGCAATAATCACTGGAGGTCTAGTGGGTGCCCTTCTATAGTAAT